GCACCTAGAAGCTCTAGAGTGAAGCAAGAAGCACCTAGAAGCTCTAGAGTGAAGCAAGAAGCACCTAGAAGTTCTAGAGTGAGGCAAGAGGCACCTAGAAGCTCTAGAGTGAGGCAAGAGGCACCTAGAAGCTCTAGAGTGAAGCAAGAGGCACCTAGAAGCTCTAGAGTGAAGCAAGAAGCACCTAGAAGCTCTAGAGTGAAGCAAGAAGCACCTAGAAGTTCTAGAGTGAAGCAAGAAGCACCTATGAAGTTCTAGAAGGTTCATGGTCCATGGCTAGTCTGATAGCGCTTATCAGTGACGGGTACGTACGGTACGTGATTCATCAACTCTTATCTGTTTTTTTAAGGTATTACATTTGATTATATAATCGATGATATTGCCACCAGAGTTATGAGTCAACATTTTACTATGAATATGTAGGAAATTGATGCAGAAAGACCACACAATTAATATAAATACTTAGTAAATAAAATACCATTGGAAACATAAATAAAAAATTGAACTATCAGGTAAACTTGTCCTGTGTTAGCGTGATCAGGGCGCCGCCATCTTTGTTCAGAGCTGCAGCCGTTATGATGTGCGCGCTTTACATGCATTCTTTGTATGCTTTGTGCGATGCTACTCAATACTCATATTGCATGCATTGCATGCACTCTTTTTTTCATAACATACATTATATGACTGTATTAGTCTCAGGGACGACGCAATATAGAATCACACGTTAAAATCTCGCCATTTTTCAAATCAGGAATAATCTTGCTGTTTATTTAAATAAAATCATGTTAAAAGTTTTCAAAACTATTTTCTCAGAAATGAACTCGAACCTGAATCGTTTACGACTGAAACGCAGCAGAGTCGCGGTGCTGTGTCATGTGCCTTATAATAAACATTCTCGTCCACCGAGCGTTGCCCTGCACCAAGTGTATAAGAAATAAAAAAAAATCTGTTGCGTCTCTCTTGGTCGGTCAGCCGCCATGCTAGCGAACAGCTGACGGCCTCAAGCCGCATTCACACTCACGTGAATGCGAGACAAGATCAAGCCGATAGATCTCAGCCTGAAATGATTACATATAATAGTTATTGTCAAACTAACTAATAAGAATTGTATTAAAAACGAATATGTAAGGATAAAGTTGTCAGTAAAAACAAATATCTGGAAAACTGCATCGCTGACGACTCACATGAACGTTGCACAAAGCTCACGTGTACATTTCCTGATTCCTAAATAGCTAACTGGCTAAACTATACTTACACTCAAAGTTAAAAAGTTTTATGGATATGTTAATCCCATTCACTCATTACATGGGTCTTTAAAAAATAGGCTTTAAATCATGTATATGAATGTCTAGAATGAAAGTTAGCAGAGCTCAGCTGATCGATTATGTTTTTCTCTGTCTCTTTGTTCAACGTTTACGCTATTGAAAGCTCAGGACATCAAAATAGATTAGACGTTTCATTCTAATCTTACAGATGCTTTTCAATCTGTTAACGCAAGTAATTTTCGTTTAGTTCAGTCATTATTATCAGCTTGAAAGAATAAGTTTGGGTTCTGGGTACAGTTAACAAAGTGAGAAAATTAACATCATGGCTTTGTGTCCGTAAGACCAGATTTATTGATGATCTCATCGCTCAAATTAGAATTCTGAATTATAATTTAGTTTTTGTGCTTCCAACAAGCGAAATTTATCAAAAAATATTGAATTATTCCAGAAGGTTTTGGGACTAGTTCTTATAACGGAGCAATCTTCTTGACAAAGAACGGCTCAGGTATAAAAGCTGCAACAGCTGCTGCGTGCGTTATCATTGACGTCGCTGTGGTAAAGTAAAGTATACCGTTTACATCGCTCGCGTTGTCTATAAAGTTTCAAATCTTAAGTTCAATTGTAAGTAGCACATTGTATTAAGTTACTATTAACTATGATTTACGGCCCTCGGGCTCAGATTATTTGTGTGTTTGACATTGTGTGTTTAATACGTTATTCCACATTGCGACAGTATGAATTATTGAATGATTGCATGAACCGTGATGAACGCCGAACGGTAGGCTGGCTTGGCCTTGGCAGTCACGCACTGTCACGGTGACGTAGCAGTGCAGTTTTTGGAAGTCTCAGTAGCAACTAGCCTTGAAGTTCATATTTTGAATAGCCTGAAGGCTGAATAGGAATATTAAGTTCTGATGAGAGCTTATCAGGCAAACTGTTTGATTAATTGTTCATCTTTTCTTCTGTTTATGTTGTAGAAATCCTGTACTAATTTTAAATGAATACCTAACTTCCACTTTGCCAAGGGAAGTGAGTGATGATGGCCAATGGCAATGGCATGTACTTACCAATCTTAACTTGAGCTCAGCTGCAGGGTGAAATTTAGGGATGTCTGGGGACTGGGATGATGGGCTGATGGCCTAGTCTGGAAAAGTCCTATTTTTGTCTGAAATATCGCTGCTCTAATATCATATAATTTCAGTAGGTATGAAATCTCGTGGCTCGAATGTCATAAATTTTTGTTTGATTAAAAAATCGCGGTTTGCACTTCGCAATCATGTCATTTTATAAAATTTTCAACTTCTGCAATCCACATTGCTTTACCGTTTCCGCCAAAAATATCTTGCAGAAAAAACATAAACATCGTAATGTAAACAAGTAAACGAAACGTTTGTTGAAGATCGCGCATAGTTGCGGTCATGTCAAAGCGGTCAGACTGTATATTAACACGTGCTGAACTTACAGTAGAGACAAATTTTATTGTTGCCGACTTGCCGTTTGACTGTTTAAGGGTAAAATTAGAGATTTGGGGTAACACGTGCATAAACTTTGTAAATAAATTCGAATTCGCACCTCGTAAATGGCTTTTCATGGCCGAGATATGGAATTCACGGCTCTGTGAAATAGAATCACATCTCGTAGAAATGGAATCAGGGCTGGCAAATCCATAAAACCACGGCTCGAAAAATTCAGTCGCGGCTCGTGAAATAGATATATTCCATACTAGCTGATGGCTGAGGGCTCATACCAATTGCCACAGTCAGAAAGATGTGCCAGGTGCGCGGGAATTTTAATTATCATTGCGTCAATTTGCGCCGTGTGCCGTAATATGCCGGTAAAAAAGTGCACCGTGCGCCAGCATGCGCCCACTGTGCAGAGAGTGAACAAAGATTTAAAGACCTACGGCGACGCATTATCGGCAAAATTTTTGCCTTCAGAAGATCTTGCCGACACATTTAGCTTGAAATTCTTGCATTTAATATATTTCTCAGTCTTCAGCCAACTATTTAGAAAAAAAGTAAGGTTTCCGGTACGTTGGCTGGATTACGATGCAGCGAAGCTTGTCGGAAAATCAGTTGCGATGAGTTCCCGCAAAAAATGTAAACAACATTTTTTCGATTGCGTAGTTTCGGTCGCATTAGAGTGGTCAGACTGCTTTATTACTTGTTCAGTTGACACTTGCTGTACAACCGGTCTGTTTTTAGGGTAAAATTAGTTATTTGGGGTAACACGTGCATGCAACCTTGTAATAAGTTCGTGGCTTGTAAATAGTTCGTCATTACTCAGCGTAAATGGCTTTTCATTAAAAATTACCCGGCGACGCATCTTTAAAATGGCCGGCGACGCTTTGGGCTTAAAAATCCATATATTGCCGACGCTGCATCCACCCTCTGCATAGTGGGCATGCGCCGTGCTCCTAAAGTTGTTTAAAGATGAATGCCCAGCAATGCTATCACACACGAACAAATATCTGCATCACGTTGAGTAGATTTCTAACGTGTTAACTCGGGTTCTAAGAGTCGGCAATGTTATGAATAATTATTCATAGATCACAATTCGGTTGGAAATTAATTACAAAACTGAATAGTAGAAGGCGACAATCCACATGACTTGAGATTGGCTCCTTCTAACGAAGGACTTGGTTACTTGGTTAAGATGAGGCACGTCACTGACTGAAGTATTGGCGCCCCGTTGAAGGACTGACTTTGGCAAATAGTACAAACCTGAATGTCAATGTCAGGAATACGTTGCGTTCCCGACATCCTCCCGGCTGGAGAAATGGGTTTGTGTGGTGCAAACCCATTGAAACAAAAATACAGGCACTGCACTTTTTTGAATTTTCGGTTCTCATTTTTTGCAACTTTGAAGGTTAATTATATAGACTAACAAGTAACAACAAACAATTATAAAATATGAATAGCTTCAAGAGACTCATACGTCTCAGACAAATTTAAGGCCGTACTTGCGGCCGGCCTCGCGGCCGGACTCTGTACCTGAAATATCTCCCAAAGTACTGAACATAGCTTGATGAAACTTGGTTCACATATTCATTATGGCCTAACGGTGATGTCAAGCGCGTGACAATTCTTTTTAATATTGCCTACATTTGTGAGTTCTATGACGAAACGTGCCGAAATTTGCAGTGTACCAGAGATTTCTTCTCAAATACTGAACAGATTTGAACAAAACTTTGCATATAGAAACCTAACCTCCCAACGGTGTGATGTTTAGCTTGTGACAATTTTGTCAATTTTGCCTTTGTTCGCGAGTTATACGGCTTTATGTATATGGCTCTTGGTCAATGAAAGTTTAAAAATCGGCCTGAGAAATGCTGGTCGTTTCTCCGTATAACTCGCAAACGAAGGCAAAATCGAAAAAATTGTCACAAGCTAAACATCACCGTTGGGAGGCTAGGTTTCTATATGCAAAGTTTTGTTCAAATCTGTTCAGTATTTTAGAAGAAATCTCTGGTACACTGCGAATTTACACACCATTTTGCTGTTTAAATCACGAGTGAGGGAAAAGAGAAAAATACTCGCCAACAAAGGCAAAACATAAAAAATTGTCATGAGCTAAACATCACACCGTTGGGAGGTTAGGCTTCTTCTATGTGCAAAATTTCATTAAAATCTGTTCAGTATTTTAGAAGAAATGGCTGGTACACCATAGTGGTACACTGCAAATTTTGGTACGTTTTGTCATATAACTCACGAATGAAGGCGATATTATAAATAATTGTCACGAGCTTGACATCACCGTTAGGCCATTGGAGATATTTCAGGTACATATTTTTTATTGGAGATATTTCAGGTACAGAGTCCAGCCGCGAAACCGGCCGCAAGTACGGCCGTAAATTTGTCCGAGACGTCATCACATGACGATGAAGCAGCATTGCGTAAAAGTATGTAAAGACGATGTTGGGAATTTCTGATGACAGTTATGTCAGGACATATTTTATTTACAAAAGATTTTGTACTCAAAACTATTTTCCATTAATTACAATGATGAAATTATTTCTGACTCCTTGCATTAACCGTAGAATCTCTAATAACCCTATCAGCGCAATAATAGTATATATAGAATGAGCAAAATCTGTCATTTAACACTAATATTTGTTTACTTCATATGTCCAATTTCTGAGGACTTGGTTATTCACCACTTGCCTCACGTCCGGACAGAATATAGCCTCACGTCCGGACGGTCTATGGAAGGTAAACAAACGATGTTCGCCAGTTTGTATAAGAAATTTGTAGAAAATTTCTTTGAAAATGAATTTCTAGATTTTTACTTTCACAAAATTTCCATATCAAGGAAAATCATAGATTATTGATGGATAATTAAATGCATATCAATTATTAAGTATTGTACATTTTCTGTCTCTTGTCCCTTGACAAAATGTATGTGCGCGCTGCGCCAACGCTTGCGCGCGCTGTGCCGACGCTTACGCGCGCTGCGCCAACGCTTGCACGTGCAAGCAGGGATGGCCAGAAGTTGCACCAACTGTGTGCTGCAATAGCTTGAAAAAAGTCAAAATGCATGGGAAAATTCCCTGAAAACATACATAATCCTGAGTGTGGCATACCATACCCTTTAGCCATTACCCAGGATGGTGTGGCATGTACACTGTACGCTGGAGGTCCGGAGCCTTCAATGCAGCATGTACGCCAAACAAAATAAAAAGTCAAGCCACTCATACAGGATAGATCCAAAAGTGATCCATGCTAGTAACTTGATTGTTTTAGTTGCTCAATGTCAGTCAATTTATAAAATTGAATCTAGATTCTGATTTCTGATCTCTAGATAATGTCAGCATGACTGTATGTGCACAAATTTTTCATTTACCAAAAATTAATGATGAAATTCATACCATGTAAGAGGCTAAAAAATATGAAATATTCATATATCTAAATATAAAATATCAAATGAATATAAAAAGATATACCAAAAATATATGGGTTGAATTTTGTCCAAAAAATTCGAGCGTGTTAGTGATTTATATGGCTTACTGACATCTTATTATTTATTTATTCTTGTATTTGCATTTATTGACAATGAAAAGAAATGCATTTACATTTTGACATTGAAGGGACTTCACACTATTTTGGGTCAAGAAATTTAACACTTTGACTGCGACGTGCGCCATATATGGTACATGCATGCTTGTCCCAAACTGCGATGTGCGCCATATATGGCGCACGCTTGAAAAATTTAATTTTTTAGAAAAAGCTCTTTAAAATATCAGCCAGATCATGAACTTGTGAAAAATATGATTGATAATTGACAATAATGTTTTCAAAAACCTATATGAACGTTGTGCAATCGAATCATAAGAATTTTAGTAGTTGGAATGTAGCCTGAAATAATGAGTGGATACGAAAAAGAAAAAGTATTAAATAAATTCACGTGTCTGACCTATTACTAGTGAAAATACATTCAGTAATCTTCAACAACTTCAGCAATTCACATCGATTTTTACTGACTATAGAACTGATCACCAAGCACCCAGGCATTTGCTACAGTTTTTGCCAATAACTTGAACAGTTGTTGGTACCACTTCATGCTATGCTTAGAGCAGTTTTGTAAGAAATCATCTAAATGAATTATAAACTTCTCATTTAGCAGCATTTTACCCCAGAATGATTTGTAGTTTGATTATTGCAGTCACAATCCATTTCATTTGCACAGAAAATGTTTTTTTTTAAGCGTTCGTACCCGTGTGATGCAAGTTTTTTATTGTAGTTGAATAATAAATACCGTGTACCTCATATGGCGCACGTTGCCTAGAAATATGAAAGTTTCCATCCCAGGCGACATGCACCAATAGAGGCTCGCGGTTTTTATGTCAGAAGCTTGTAGAGCTCGCTCAGACAAGAGCAGCGCACTAGCCCTGATCTCGCTGCCTTGTCTGTAACTCAAGTTATTCAAGTTTGAATGAGTCGCACCACGGGACAACAGGCTATTTTGTGAGTCGCAGTCAAAGTGTTAAGCAAATGTATGTTATCCTGTAACACTTGAAAGTCTTGAAATGATTTCAGTTGATGAATGTTCATGGTAATTAATTTCATTTTAATCTGTGAATTAATCAAGCAAGTATACATGGTATATGTTTGTAGTTGTGACTCTAAATACAATTAAGATGCACTGGGACTTCTTGCAGTTGCAGTCTGCACTCTGCCGAGCCTTGGAATTTAGGAAGGATATGCAACAAATTTATTGTCCTTAAGAAGTATGTTTTAGCTGGCAAGTTCAATAAGTAAAGAAACTATAAATCACTTGGGCTTGCTGGCAACTACCCTATCAAAATTTTTAGTTGGTGGCAAGCCTGAATTAGGAACCCGCCTAGGACTGGGACCGAATGTAAATCAGCTTCTCTATGTCCGCTTTTTGGTCTACATTCCGGTCCCCTAATCAGACAGCTACCAGAGCCTGGTGAGGGGACTGAGGGGATTCTGCCAACTCTTGCCCTACTCTCAGAAGACCATAAAGTTGGCCAGGAGGTTCTGACTAGTCACTGATTGTGATCAGTTGGCCAACTGACCCAGAATAACTTTGCGCCGAGTGTAGTGACTATTCGGCCGAAGCCTAGGCGGTCCCCGAATTTTGTTAGGGTATCTTTTAATGCAGCCAGGCATGCAAGTAAAGAACTTAGTGATGAGTGCAAAGCAGGGTTTTAACATGAAATTCTTTTGTTTCCCAACAAAATTTGGTTGATCAAAGCTATTAGTTGGATCGAAGTATAGAGATAGGCACAAAAGCATACCACATGTCTTAAACAAAATATGCTGGTCTGTCATCTCAATATTATGTAGTATTCTGAACATATTCAGCTAATGATGAATTATTCATTTATTATATACATTTCCTAAATTCCAGCTCATAATTTTTTTTATCATTTTTCAAGATCCCCTGCATGTATCAGGAATGTCATTGCTGTCATGTACAAGATTTGAATGGAATCTTTAAGTTAATCAGGAGAATCACTGAATTGGCTACCAAAGTTTTTTTTACAACACTTTCTCTTTAATTTCACTTCTTGTTCTTTGTCTGCTAGAAATCTATTGATCAATATTTAACACGCTTCTAATAGGTAGTCCAAATGATCTGAAATTTTGCACACTTGCATAAAGTTGGAGACAATGCTTGAATCAATTGACAATAAATATGAAAAAATGATATACGTTTAAAAATTACTTTTTAAAGACAACACTTCTAAAGAATCCAGTGTCTCCAATGTTAAAGATGTACCGTACAATGAATTTCTTATTTTATTTTCGAATATTAAAAAATAGATTTTTCAATTTTTTTTAATATATAAATTTTTTTTCAAAATTATTTATTCTGTCAATTGAATCATGCATTGTCTACAACTTTACGCATGTGTGCCAAATTTCAGATTAATTGGACAGGTAAAAATGTGTCAAATATCAGTTATAAGATTTGTAGCTGACAAAATTATTTTTTCAATTTTTTTAATATTAAAAAAAAATTTAATTATTAAAATCATTTATTTTGTCATTTGATTCTTGCATTGTCTCCAACTTTACGCAAGTGTGCAAAATTTCAGATCGATGGGATAAGTAGAAGTGTGTTGAATTTTGATTATAATATTTGTAGCAGACAGACAGACAGACAAACAAGAAGTGAAGTTAAAGAGAAGTGTTGTAAAAAATGATATTAAAAATAAAAAATATACATTTTTTAATATGTGAAAAAATTAGAAATTTATCATACATTTGTAACATAGGAGACACTTAAGAAGCATTGTCTTTAAAAAGTAATTTTTAAATGCATATTATTTCTGCTGTTCCTGTGGTTGAAAAACCACTTGGTAATTATCAATCCATGGGCTATCAAGCCTCTCATTGAAATTGGAGTAAATAAATTGCAAGCAGTTCAAGAAAGAACAGATTTGAATTATTTATGTATATTTATTTGTATGCATTTATCTAAGCTTTTCATATTGAGGTAAATTTGTGAAGAATTTATAGATGCAGTCACAGTTATAAAATCTTGCTGATAGGTATACTTTAAATTGAAGGTTACAAATATTAAGAATAACTACCAAATTTCAGTATAACTGTTTCATCAAGTTATTCTGAATAATTGCATAGAAAGTGCTACTTCTGTCATGAAAAAATGAAATGACCATAAATTTTGTCTTCAAAATTTTGAATGAAAACTTCATTTTTGTTTATGGGTTTTATAAAAGGTGATGCTAGTTACAGAACAATGGAAAGATTCTCAATGATTGGCTGACAGACATAAAAATATAGTTGCATCAAACACAAGCTGGTGCTGTGGTGGGACTTTATGTGACATTTTTAGTGACAAAATATGGTAACTCATCTTTAAAAGGGTTAATCTAATAATGCTATCCATGAAAGCCAGCTGTTGCTGATTAGATAGGTTGCAGGAATTTTCTGTTTCATGACCAATTTGTAATATTGGTCTGAAGTGAAAATAATTGTGGATACAAGGTAGCATTTGAAAGTTAATTTCTTATTATTGCTGGCAATAATGGGATATTTTTCTCTGCCAGAGAAATTAGGTGGAGTCCATAGAAATGATATGTGAAATTTGAATACTCATTTTGTCTATTGGTGAAATTTAAGTAAGCATTTTTTTGGTCTACTGGTGAAATTTGAATAGGCATTTTGGACTACTGCTGAAATTTGAATAGGCATTTTGGACTACTGCTGAAATTTGAATAGGCATTTTGGTCTACTGGTGAAATTTGAATAGGCTTTTTAGTCTCCTGGTGAAATTTGAATAGGCATTTTGGTCTACTGGTGAAATTTGAATAGGCACTTTGGTCTACTGGTGAAATTTGAATAGGCATTATGGTCTACTAGTGAAATTTGAATAGGCATTAGAGTCTATTGGTGAAATTTGAATAGGCACTTTGGTCTATGGTACTGGTGAAATTTGAATAGGCACTTTGGTCTACTGGTGAAATTTGAATAGTCATTTTGGTCTTCTTCATTGCTTCATGTGTGGGTCCTAGTTTTGCCATTTTGCTACACTGGCAATGTATTGAATCACTTGAAGCTCCTGCTTGCTCATTGTTTTGGGGGTTGACTGTGAGTGACTGTTGAATATATTGGTTATTGGAAGACATTATTTGACTACATTATAAGCTCAAAGAAAAAAAAATTCCTTATGTTCAAGAGATTTCATAATCAGGATGGAATTCTGGAGGCATAATAACTGAACAGTTGCCCATAATTTTGCTTCAAAAAAACTTAAATTTGATTTCTCCTTGTACTGCTCAAATTCTGTGGAATGTAAAAAGTTACATCTGGTGCTAAGCTCAGAATAGATCTACTATAGGAGCCACAAAATTCCTGCTAGGTGAATTATCTCTAAAAAGTTAAGGATTGGGCTCTGAGATTTCAGAAATGTTGAATTGTACATCACTTTAGAGCAACAAGATTCCAGTAACAAGTAGAAATGTTTATATATTGGCTGGGTCTGCTAGATAGGTCTTGTATATTTATTTGAACCACCAGCATTTCACTTGTTGCACCAGCATTTCACAAATCATTGCCTGCATCTAATTGTCATGTTTCATCTCATTGGACAAATAGGCTCCATAAGCCATTACACGAGATGTCAAACTTGTGTACTGCGAGATGTGCTCTAGAGGAGTAGCATTGCTGGGTTCTGGTATAATATTTTCAAAACTAGGGGTGGGTTGGACTTACTTAGTTTTCCCAAGAAGTTATGTATTCTGGAAACTATTGTGTTAATAGTAAATAGCATTGTTTTTTGTGTTAAGAAATACTTTTTCGAAAGTTTAAAAATTGCTGAGTAATAATAAAAATTTGAAAAAATTGCTGAGTAACCATAAGTTAAGAGCTGTAATTTTTTTGGAGCAAAATTTTATTTATATCTCTTCTTTTGATAGTACAATTGTGTTGGGAATGTGTAAACTGTAAGGTTTATCAAATGTATTCAATAATCAACTCTTGCTTTGCAGACAATGCAGATCTTCGTGAAGACCCTGACTGGCAAGACCATTACCTTGGAGGTGGAGGCCTCTGATACCATCGAGAACGTGAAGGCGAAGATTCAAGATAAGGAAGGCATCCCTCCCGACCAACAGCGTCTCATCTTTGCTGGTAAGCAGTTGGAGGACGGTCGAACCCTTTCCGACTACAACATCCAAAAGGAGTCAACCCTCCACTTGGTACTGCGTCTGCGTGGTGGTATGCAGATCTTCGTGAAGACCCTGACTGGCAAGACTATCACCTTGGAGGTGGAGGCCTCGGATACCATCGAGAATGTGAAGGCGAAGATCCAAGATAAGGAAGGCATCCCTCCCGACCAACAGCGTCTTATCTTTGCTGGCAAGCAGTTAGAGGATGGCCGAACCCTTTCCGACTACAACATCCAAAAGGAGTCTACCCTCCACTTGGTACTGCGTCTGCGTGGTGGCCAGTGATGGTCTTCAGTTTCCCAAGTTTCCATTATTATCGTACCTAGAAATGATATGCAATACTGATTATTTTTTACTTCAGCCAGTCACTTGTGTTTTAGCTTTAGTTGACCGATACGGTTCTTGTAAACGGATATGAATTGATTGAGATGATATATGGATCTCATTAAACGACTTGAATAATCTGTTTTTTAATGCCTTTTGGTTTCTAGATAGCATAGAATGAGTCTTGTGCGTTATCATGTATAGAATTGGTCTCCATCTCGTACTCGTACTGGTAGGTTGCTTTCCAAGTAAATCAGTTCATTGCCTGGGGCCGGATTATCAAAACTTTGCAACTTTTTATACCTGCGCACAATAAAAGATAAAACTTGCCTATATATACCCTAGTTTTGGCATTATCTAAACTTGCGTACACAAGACTTGGCTTAAACCGTACCATCAAACCACGTTGGACATCAGCCAATCAGAAGCTCGCTGTGGTCAGCTCGCACATCAGTCCAGTGGTTAAAGTTCAGGGTACCAAGATTGGAGCAGAGGTGTGGGTTCGATCCCAGCTCTGTGCGCCAGTTTCTCAAGGAGGTCGGGCGGTTAAGCAAGCAGAATTGAAGCAATGAATTGCGCGTTCGATACCGCAAAAAGCTGTGAATATTCTGCCATGTTAAGAATCGGTGACAGGCCTACGGCCAACAAACGCTGAAACCGCTTTATTATTATATTATTTACATTACATGTCGTATAACGCCACGCTTCTGTGTCCAGTTATTTAAACATTTTTAGCTTTATAAAGAATACTTAACGCTATTACTCTAAGAAGTTTGTGACATCTGCCGGTTCAAAATAGCAAAGAAATATTTATTGCTTAAAATGATATAATGAAAAACGAGGGTAAAATTTTTGTGAATTTGTTGTTTAGCTCCATCAATTAGACTCGTTTTCTATTGACACGTACTGAAAAGAGTCATTTGATGCACGACTAATATAATTCCTCAAGCCCCTTCTCTACTTCGGGACTGATTAGGATGGATTGAGACCAGTAAGCCTCATGGCTGGGACTCAGAACTGGTGTGCGCATTTCCACTATGCGACCATATGCTGGGATGGAGACAGAGTTACATCTGGGCTACCACTCTGCCCCGTGCGCGACATTTCAGTGCGTATATTGGACTTGGAGCGACAGCAACATGCTTGCTGCCTCAGTCTTGCACACGGCCGTCGCGCCCCCCCTCCTCTTGTGAGGCTAAAAAAGGCTGCTAAAAATAGTCGGGGTAATTGGTCCAGTCTAGTCAGAATAAATGATAATAACTGATTTAGCCTAATGAGCTGCACAATTTATACCTGCATAAAAATGAACACCCCTTGGATTTGCCCAGTTGTAGCTGTGATATTTAGCAAAATTTCATAACTTTTCCAGTCTTGCTTTGTAGTATCAAGCAAATTATTTCTAGAATGTAGAATACCGTAACAGATCATTAGTGTCAAAAGTTTATGACAATATAGAGGAATTTGTCACGTTAGGTGTATTTATTTATGTGGACACAACTCACTAGACTGCACCTAAGTTTTAGATGAATGAATGCAAGACTTTAAACTTGTATCCCAGCAATTTTGAATTCACTCAAAATTTGGAATCTTGAAATGGGATTGTGCAATATTTGTGTAAGTGTATTTTCTACTCCTGCACTGCAGTCCTGCTTCAAGGTGACAGAATCAAAGAAAATTTTTTTTCAAAAGAACTTTTGCTCAATTATGTTCGTGTTAGTTTTAGTTCATATATCATTTGATTGTGTTGCATGCATGAGTTGTATTTCCTAGTAGCAGAACTTCCTCAACACAATCATGGCTCAACACCATGTGCTCATTGTGCTGTGCTGCTGGTGTGTCATGAGCTGCGCTGCTAACATCAGCAGTCACAGTGATAGACAGTGGCCTCATGGGCGCTGCAGTTGCACAGGTGAGCTTTCAATTTGATATTTTACTATATCCTATCTTCTTCATGAAGAAAAATAATTTTCAATGTTCTGTAATCATTGGTGTTCCAATGAAAAGTTTAAAAAAAATCTACAGAAACTACTTTTGACCCCTGTCATACTAATGATTATTGCAACTGCATCATATTATAAAGTGATGGCATCATCTAGAGATTAAAGAGGCATTAATTATGTAAAGTTAAGCACTAACAGACCTGTATGTATGGATGCCTTTGCGCTTTTACTTAAGAGATTTATGAATGGTAATATGTACAGGTGGCAGCCCAGGCTGGACAGAAGGTGCGCCTGGTTGACGTGGTGGCTGCTGCAGTGCAGGCTGCCCTAGACCGCTTCAAGCCGTCACTGCAGCAAGTGCCCAAGAAGAAATTTAAGGTGACCATGAACAATAAATTTCTTAACTTGTTTGTTTATTTATTAGAATATATTTTATTAGTATATTTATTAATAAGCTGCAGATTTGTGGCATAGATGCAGAGCAGAGAATGTTTCAAGATTTTCATATCATCAGTGACAGTGAGGCACAAGTTTTTTCCCTAGGGAATTTTGTGCAGGTGCCTGCGTAATAAAGTTAATCCTTCTTGCGAAACACTATAGTTAATATGGATTAATAAACTATTATTTTGCAAACTTTTGTATTTTTCTAACTTATTTTCTATTCTTTGAATTTCAAATTCCCATAAAAGAATTTCTGACCTTGTCTTCATAGTGATATTAGTGTGTCTATGTAAAGCTTGATTCCAGATAAATTACAAAATGAAGAACTTATAAATATTACCCACATGTGAGAAACGCTTCATGGCTGCCATTAAATTGCAAAGAAATAGAAACATAGGTAGTAATGTAAAGTTTTATTGACAACATTAGTACATATAAGTTAGAGCAACATGAAGTTATTCACATTTTAAATATATATATATATATTTTTTTGGCTTTTTGAAGGCCCAGAATGAAGTTTTGCAACTCAAGCCTAAATAATATACCTGGGAGATATAATATATATATTGCTGGGAGATGCTGGCAAGATATTCAAGTTTGTTGATAAGAGGCACAGTCGCTGCTGCACAGACTTGGCTGATGAGCAATCTTGTTCTTGGGAGCAGATCTTGTTCTTGAGAGCAGATCTTGTTCTTGTAATGCGGACATAGAGCTTCTAATTTACCCGGCCATAAGAACTTGGGGCGTCCGTGTGCCAGCGGCTGACAGGTCTTCGAATTTCGATAGGGTTAGGATATTTACTAATAAGCAGCAGATTTGTGGCATAGATGCAGAAAATGTGTCAACATTCTCATATCCTCGGTGAAAATTAGGCACAAATTTTTCTCTATTGATTTTTGTGAAGGTGCTTGTATAATAAAATTATTCCTTCTTACTAAACACTATATAGTTAATGTGCTTAAATAAACCATTATTTCGGAAACTTAATATTTTTCTGTTCTTTGCATTTCAAATTCACATAAAAGAATTTCTGAAGTAGCCTTTATGGGGACATAACAGTATATATAGCTCGTTTCCAGATAAATGAAAAAATTAAGAACATTTATATATTGCCCACATGTGAGAAACGCAACAATACTCTCATTATATTGTAAAGAAATTTAAACAAAATGGAAAGTTTTATTGGCTAAATTACTTATTCGTTAGTGCAACATGAAGTTATTCACATTGTAAATACTTTGGCTTTTTAAAGGTTTAGAGTGAGGTACTGTAATCCAAGCCTGAATAATAATGCTGGGAGATATAATATATATATTGCTGGGAGATATAATATATATATTGCTGGGAGATATAATATATATATTGCTGGGAGATGCTGGTAAGACATGCGAGTTTGTTGATAAGAGGCGCAGTCGCTGCTGCTCAGACTTGGCTGCTGAGCGATCTTGTTCTTGAGAGCAGATCTTGTTCTTGAGAGCAGATCTTGTTCTTGAGAGCAGATCTTGTTCTTGAGAGCAGATTTTGTTCTTGAGAGCAGATTTTGTTCTTGAGTCTTGTTCTTGAGAGCAGATCTTGTTCTTGAGAGCAGATATTGTTCTTGAGAGCAGATCTTGTTCTTGAGAGCAGATCTTGTTCTTGAGAGCAGATCGTGTTCTTGAGAGCAGATCTTGTTCATGAGAGACCACATCAAGCTGTGAATGTTCTGTGATGTTTTTGTAACCGGCTAGAGCTGCTACTAGCTAACTGAACATTATTTGGTCTTTAGTTCACTAGTGTCAGAGGCGGACGCTCGCAGCTCCGGGCCAAGAAAATATATAAATGAATTCCAGGCAACTGTTCGCACTTAACCTCCAATGCCGCCCATAACTCTCCGTCATCGGTATGTAGCATGCCTGTTCAGTGGCAATGGATTAAAATCATTAACAAGCACGCTTAAAATAGTTTATTATACTCACTTTCTGTTAAAATCATAATAATTATTATGGGGAACATAATTTTAAAGGTAACCCTCTACCGCCATATGTCACTCTCCGGGAACATAACTTTAAAGTTAACCCTCTACCGCCNATTGTATCTTGTCCTTGTAATAGAGCATTGAGTTCTGTAATCCAGTTTAGTTTAATGGTCTCTGAAAATTTTGAGCATTACATTTAACTCATACTTATGTCGTATCAAAAGTTCTAATTATGCTTCCATTTAGTTCCTTTATTGTTGAATTAGAAATTAAATGAGAACAATTCAGTGAAAAATGCAACTCACAATGTTGCTGGTAGTTCTCGGTGAGCTTTGGCAGAACTACCATTCTTTATGACTCAACATACATTGCACTTGAATTAAAATAATAGTGCTGGAAGAATTTCATAAATAATAAACCGACAATGGCCTTTAGTTTTGTGGTCTATTATAACTCCAACCACAAATATCAGATCCCTTATTACAATTACGGACCAGGCAATAAGTCCAGCAGCTATCTCAATCAATCGTCAGGTATGGAAAGATCGGGTTCCAAAGGCCGGATCCCTTGTGAATCTAGTCACGAAAAGTTCATGAATCGACAACAGGCCATGGGCCTATTTCTTCAGTGCCGACACTTCTATTCTATTCTATGTTTTTTTTCATTTGAAGCCTTCCTCTGTTCTCCGGCAGCTGGCTCCACCACTCACAATATTGGCCTCCAACACCTCCTCGCTGCCCTCCATCCGCGCCATCGCCAGTGCGGGACCAGTTCACAGGGCCCAGGGCTGCACTTCTTCGGGGCCAGTTGGTAACACCCCTCTGTTTCAGTGCACCTGTAACCCGGCTTCCCTCTACTTGTCCTTCCTTTCATTGTTTATTAAATGCAGAGAAAGTTGCTCGTGTTTTGATTTGCATCCCGTGACGAGGCCCGGTTGCGTTAGTGCGTCCACCATAGATTCCATAGCTGAACTCTGGACCATAATTTGAATTTGTCAGCTTCTCTGGACTCTGGTTGGAGCAGTAGGTCTGCATTCCTTTACACTCGTCACCCATCTCGTGACCGCTGCCTCATCACCCATCTCGTGACCGCTGCCTCATCACCCGTCTCGTGACCGCTGCCTCATCACCCGTCTCGTGACCGCTGCCTCATCACCCATCTCGTGACCGCTGCCTTGTCCACTGACGGCTGACAATCGCCCCAGGGAGTCTGCCTGTCAGCTCCTATTCTCGGTTTCTGTTTCCCCACCAGGGAAGGACATCTGCTGCAGGGTCCGCTGGCTTAGCTTCATTTGGCAGCAGAGCCTGAATCCACATTCATTGTCACCTTAATTAAAGCCTGAACGAATTTGGGAATAGAATTTACGAAAATTTTTGTACGTTCGCTCAAGAGGTTACCAAGATAGAGAAATTTTTAGCATTATCAATACTTGCTTACGCTACTTACGTATGTAAAATATCATTGTCAAAACCATCATGCGTAATAGTTAATCAGAGGCTCGTTTAGAGTCTAGGTTTACAATCGGACTAGGATGCCATTGAGCTTCAGTATTGTGTGATATTATATATCTACCAGGATACTAAACTCTTTCACCCTGAGGTGCAACCTATAAATGCCGTTTTTAGATAGCAGAATACTATTTATGATAAATATTACATTATAGTCAGCGTGATAAAAATTATCTGCAGCTTCAACTCACATGACGGCCGAGCTGCAGCTGGACCACAAAAGCGCAGCAATTTTGTATTGCTGCTCATACATTAAGTGAAGAGTTTATGCACTATTGCATGGGCATGCATGAACATGAACTTGCATGTTTCGACATCCAGCACCGTCACGAAATATGAAGCTAAAATATACCTTTAATTATCTGATGAAATTTTATTCAGTCAATAAATACAAATATGGTTTGAAAAAATAATTAGAAGCAATTTGTTGCTCCATTGCATCGATTGACATTTAATGCACTCAAAATTTACGTACTTGCGGACAGCGACGTCCCGGATCGTTTGCTTACATAATACTTATCTAAAAAATGGAAGTAGATTCGGTTTCGGGCATTAGGCTATTTGGATTGCAGCTACGGTTGGTGACGGTGCATGCGTGAGTTGCCTTCTTAACACGTTGACTACATATTGGTACATATGCGTACCTCGAAATGTATTTCTCCTGGTACATAATTCAGAGTTGCCAAATGGCCTAAAAACGGCCAATTAAGTCCGTGAACAAAAAGGCCTATAACTCAATATATACTAGTATATTTGTAGGTTCCGGTGTAAAAATTCAAATTTTTTTATTTAATTAGGAAGCGCCCCTTACAACCCCTATCCCTACCTAATGCATGCCACCTATCCAACCCTAATGCATGCCACCTGGTGAGATCATCGAAAAATGTGTCAAATTTGACAGTTGACCTTGCTCTACCAAATAGTGAATAACTGTTTTTTACGTATCAGTTAAATTTAAAGCGCTGATGCAATACGACTCACCACGTGTCAAATATTGCCACACACAGTGACGGAATATAGGGATTTGGTAGGTTTCCATTCTAAAGGTTTTTTAATAAATATGGCAACATTTTGTGACGTTTCATCATTGCTGATGCGTAGTGAAGTGTTTTGAGAGTCACGTGAAGGCAACAGAACTTACGTAACGCGTACGTTTTTTTTTTATATTTTTTCATTTCTCGATGCGTCCTTAATGTGTCAGAATATACCACTTTTACCCTATAGGAGTAATAGGACTCAATTTCTCAAAAATGAACTTGAGGGAGAGTCTAAAAAATTCTCCGCTTTGCAACTATGGCTTGTAGGTACTTTTCGTCTAGCTTAGGGCTAGCCCGGCTAGGATGATGGAAAGGGGCAAAATGCAAATGTAGGAAAAAAGCCCACAGACGTTCATTCAAGTTCCAACAACAATAGGCCTTCACCAATTAGTCAATCACTAGAAAAGGCAGATTCAACTCATTCAAGCATGTCCCAGACAGTAAATGTTGCTCCAGTTTATTTAGCCAGGAGTCTCCAAGTCAGTAGATCTGAGATCAACTGATCAGACACAGACAGTGAGTATACATTTGACTTACAGATCCACTGATCCAGTTACCATATAGGACATGCAATGACCCAGGGCGCAGAGGGTGGATGCAGCGTTGCCAATATATGGGTTTTAAGCCCTAAGCGTTGCTGGGTAATTTTAAGATGCGTCGCCGGGTAATTTTTAATGAAAAGCCATTTACGCTGAGTAATGAAAAACTATTTACAAGCCACGAACTTATTTACAAGGTTGCATGCATGTGTTACCCCAAATAACTACTTTTACCCTAAAAACAGTCTGATTGTACAGCAAGTGTCAACTGAACATGTGATAATGCAGTCTGACCGCTCTAATGTGACCGCAACTACGTAATCGTAAGCTTGATGTTTACATTTTTTTGGTGGGAACTCATTGCAACTGATTTCCATACAAGCTTCACTGCGACCTGATCCATCCAACATATCGGAAGCCTTACTTTTTTTTAAATAGTTGGCCGAAGACTGACACATATATATAAAATGCAAGAATTTCAATCTAAATGTGTTGGCAAGATCTTCTGAAGGCATAAATTTTGCTACTGAAGCGTTGCCAAAGATCTTGCAATATTCATCCACTCTCTGCACAGTGGGGCTGAGTGAGCCAATGACCAGCAGTCCAGGTTGAATTTCACTATGGGCTATGGCCCCAGGCCCAAGCTTTGTCCTCTGTAGAATGTGGAGAATCTGATTTCTGTCCTAATTTGAAAAGTGGGCAGAAACAACCTGTGAATTAGACAAAAATGCCTGATTGCCTGTGAATCTGGCAAATTAATATTACATTCCAGTTCCTATGGCATTTTCCTGATTTGTTTAATGAAAAAAACTATATCCACATGCAATTGTTGAAAATTGTCTGTGAAACAATTGTTTTTATCCTATACCCAGAAGGTGTTGACATGTTCTGTTGATGCCAGTTTTTTTTAAATGTGCCGGAATGTATGCCAATATTCTAGGATTAAATTTCTACAATCTATATCACATTCCACATTTTATTCAATGCTCAGTGTTGTCATTTAAGATTTTTAGTGGCATATTTAGATAGAGAGAGCATTAATTTTTTTTAAAGAGTTGCTTTCTTTTCTGGTTCTTTTGCATATTTGCAGTACAACAGAATTGTATAAGGAGAGTTTTCAAAGCATATTAAATGGAAGTCAAATGCCTCTTAGGCTCTTAGTTTGCACTAATTAAGCAAGGAACTGTATAACTCACTGTATTGGCTCAAATACTATAGCCTACCAGCCATCATCACCTGTCCATGTGTGATGTGTCCATGTATCCTCATGGACAGGAGATGGACTCTCTTCNGAACTGTATAACTCAATGTATTGGCTCAAATACTATAGCCTACCAGCCATCATCACCTGTCCATGTGTGATGTGTCCATGTATCCTCATGGACAGGAGATGGACTCTCTTCTTTAGTTAATTCTAATTTTTTACCAGTCTAAGATCTAGAACCATATTCATGTATCCTTTGTAAACAACTATTTAACCTTTATTTTAACTTTGATCATTAAAAATCAGAAAATTAAACTTTAATTTCCACTTAGCCTGGTCTGATGGACTAATTTTCCCGGTGGGCCATTACAGATCACTTTTGCTCATGGGTGGCCCAGGATCCAATCTATTCAGTTTACTGCTATGAAGATATATCTAGTACTATGTTGTAGTGCAGTTTGCCCATTGTTATATGGGTGTGATGAACTTGTCATCAGCTTGTATATACTACTCTATTGCAAGTAATTAATTTAATGGAGAATTAAGTTAGTGTTATCTGATTTTTACTGAACAAAGTTTTAACAAAGGTTACCTAGTTTATTGCAAAGATTGTGGAAAACATGAATAGTTAGGAAATTGAGATGTTTGAGGAACACAGACAGGTGTTGATGCCTATCATATTGGAGCACATATACTCACATATCAAGGAACACAGAGTAAAATTAATGATCTATCTGCCATCTCAATACATAATTCAAATGAGGTTGTGCTATTAATAGAAAATAATGTTTACAACCCCTGGTAACAATGTCACACTTTAGAGCCAAATTGAAGTCCCTTGAAAACTAAACACAGCCATAGGAGCAGAGATCCCTGCCGCACAAGGCCCTCTTATATTCTCTCACTTGTCTAGCAACACTTTTTGTTGCTGTCTTGTTTGATGAATCTATAATGAAGACAAATCGATAATCTGTATGAATATTTTAAAAAATTTTCATTTCCTCTCATGATCTCCTGAGATGGGTTACTTACCTTTGCCTGTGAAGCTGTTAGCCGTCGATGCTATTTTAAGGGTATGCAATGCCTTTATGCTTAGGCAGGCATGGAATATATCTACCTTTGCACCATGACTAAAGCTTTCCCACCATTTTTGGAGTGGCAAGATTCCCGCTAGACCAAACTTGAAAATCAGGTGGAAGCTGCATGTGGATGAGAGGAATGCCAGTGCTTATAGACATTCTCACCCATTCTTGTTTGGCTTCTCTATTTATTTAGTGAAAAGTAAAAAAAGTTCTGCATTATTTCAAATTCACCCATGAAATGATAATTTTTTAAAATTCAAATTTTTTAAAATTCTACATAGTAAAATTCAAGATTATTTGTTAGATGAAATACCTACGTCTAATGGTACTAATAGTGTAATAAATACTAATATGAATACCTATCTAATTGTTAACAGAAGGACCAATAAATTCATAATTTAATGAGGAATGAGGAATAATTTAATGAAAATGCATCACTGTTCAGTAATTTAATTATGTACCATAGGATAATTCCTAGTATCTTGTGCTACATGCAGTATAATTTCAATGACATGCTACAATTCAGTAGTATTTTATACTGAAATTTTACAGCTCAAAAAGGAAATATTTTAAATGAATTCAGAATCTTACATCTTAATCGTGCACTTTTGTTAACAATTATATAGGAGGTAGGTATTTAATTTAGCAGGAAACTTGTGCCTTTGGTATCCTTGCAATTTGCTAAGAATATGATGATTTTTTATTGATTTTTGAGCAGTTCCTTTATAATCATGTTACTGACATGTTGGCTTGGTTACTTACAGGTAAATAATTGGGTGTGCAGTCCATTTTAAGCATAAATTTGGGTATCTGTTAAGAGTACATGTGTTTAACTTAATGTACCACATTTCTTGTACACTGACACTTTGCTCTGACTTGCAGGCAGCCCAGCAGACTGAGAGCTTCTGCTGTGCTGCCTGCAACAAGGCCTTCTCCAGCCGCGGCTCTTATGACTCGCACGTCAGGTCACGGCGCCACGCCTCCAACCTTGCTGCCATCAACAAAACTTGTAAGATGTTCTATAAATTTCTTCATAAGTAAATATATAGGTATGTATATTTACTCTATATATATCGTATTTTTACTTAATATTGTCAGTGAGTGTTACTGGTATATAATAGAAGTTAATTTGTCTTCATACCTGCTCACTTGATGAGAGCCTATGTGGCTCTCAGTCCTGCTGCTTGCAACCCTCTTCTTTTAAGCAGTATCTTAATTACCTCCATGATATTATGTGCAGAAAATCTACCTATATATAATGTTTACAATATAAATTAAAAGAGAAGTAAATCAAGAATTGACATTGACTATTTTACTCATTGTGTTATGATTATATGACATTGAAATTTAACTGAATTGCAAAACATTATATAGATTTTAGTAATAATTAAGTTTTGTTATTGCAGTGCAAGCGCAGGCATATGATGGGGACGCTTGCCTGGCCTTGCCTGCTGAGTCGCCCGAGACAGTGAGTTGCCTTAGCAGTGAATTTTTTTACTCATTTGAATATTGTTAAAATTTGATTATTTTACCTCAATTATTTGCCTGTTAACAAATAATTTAGTCAACTGTCCATTAGTCACAAGTCCAGAGAAAATTTAATTACTAGGTATTCACATATCAAAATATTTATTATTTGCTTGTGCTGAAGTCCTCTGTCATAAATTTCATAATTATGTGCCTGCCTGCACTATTGAGCTCATCAAGAAGTGTCAGTGTAGGTGCTGAACTCATTCAACTTTAGTGGCTTAAAAATGCTGCAGAAGTTCCAGAAATGTATTCTTCAGTCAAATTCACACAAACACACAAAACGTCTTCACCATGCAAGGAAACTTCACATTTTTTTGTCAAATGCAATGGCATTGATGAAAATGGTTATTATTTAGTCTTGGAGTTTATTTGTGTATAATCACATATACTGATTAATTTAGCATTGTTGACTAGTTTAGCTTTATTGGCTAGTTAAGAATTGTTGAATAGTTAGGCATTGTTGAACAGTTAGGCATGGTCAACTAGTTAGGCATTGTTGAATAAATGGATATAATCTCAATAATATTTGACAGGAACTACAGGAGGGGGACTGGCAGGACGTGGAGGAGGAGAGGCCTGACGCTGGACGAGCAGGCTGGCCGCGGCTGCAGGAGCTCTGCAGGTCAGCCTGCACCGCGGGGCCTGCAGCAGAGCAACGGAGAGCAGGACGGAAGTGAACAGACTTGCTGCAGTGTAGTGAATGAGTGAACAGACTTGCTGCAGTGTTGTGAATGATTGAACTTTGAAAATACTGTAAAATCTAAAGCAAACCTGCAGCAACATCACATAAGAGGGAGCATGGCAGGGCTAAATGTGATGCGGAGCATGGCAGGGCTAAATGCTCTTCAGATTAACTTCATGCTTGCAGAAAAACCTGATATAAATTCGCCAAATGATTGAATTGTGGCACAGGGCGACGGAAGGATGAACTTGCAGTTATTTGTATTAGGCATATGAGGGCCGTGCAGGCCATGAGGAGCAGGAATGGCCTGCCTAGCACAAGTATTGATGCCGCAGAGCTGTTGTTGTTGTTGATCAGCTCCACGTCTAACGATGTATTCATAACCTTGAACAATTCCTTGTTATCTGCAGCATTTATCTCGTCATCCACGCGGTGCCTGCAGTGCTCTCTCCTTGCTGCGCAGGGCGGGCGTCTGGCCGTGCCTGCTGTGCCGTCAGGAGACGCCCACCGCGGGCGCCGCTCTTCGTCACGTGGGGCGCCGCCACGGCCTCGTCGTCCCCCACGCCCACGCCGTCCGTCCACGCGCGCTCTACCTCGCCCTCGCCCACATGGTAATTCTGGGGTCCGGGGCGCAGGTTGGGGCTCCTTTTCTGAGCCCTGGGGACGTGAGCAGGCTGGGGCACCTCACTATTAACGCTTGGTTGACCGGTCCATATTTTCAGCTCTGGGTCACCAATACCACCATGTGGACGGTTAATCCAGGTGCTGTCCCAGCGTCCTAGCCCTGACAATAAATGATGTTCTGTATTGCAGATGTTGTGCCAGCGGCAGTGCTGGCAGTGTGGCAGGCAGCTGGCGTCAGTGCGCTCGTGCCAGCAGCACATGCTGACCAAGCCTCACCTCACGCTGCCTCTGCCAGGACCTTACGACGACTGCTACTGCTGGCAACGACTGGGTGCGTGCCGGTAGTGCATGTTACTGTTATTGTTGTTAGTTGCCTGGGGGGAGGAAGAGGGAGCGGAGGATCCTCTCCGAGGACGTCGGAGAAGGACGAGAGCGATGAGAGGAATGCCGCCGTCGGTCCAGGGTTAGTCAAGAGGTGGGATGCGATGGGCAGCTGAAGAGGTGATGGGTGCCACAGTCCATCACCTGTTTCTTCATGTTTCTTCGTGTTCATGGCATTGCATAAAAAAGGCAACCATGAATGTCACGGTATAGCCTGTTCTTCAGCATCGCAATCTTGACATTTTTATTTTCAAAAATATATGTGAAAGAAAACAAAGTGTTGCAATAGCAGGTTAGCGATACAGTTTCTATAGAAATCACAGAGAGCATAATTTCTTCCATTCCAACAGTTTAATCATTGCAATTTCCTATATTCATCTATTATAAATTAGAGGTGACCAGTGAGCATGATTGAGAACACTCGTAATTTTTACCAGTGGTGGTCACAGTCCGCTAACCGCTAATTAGCGAAACTGACGTTTTCCTTAGCCGGTGTACCATACTGAAGGCCGACTACGTCAACATATGTACGTCAATCAATCACGTCTTGTGTAACAAAAGGCGAGATAGGTTACACAAGACGTGATTGGTTGACGTAGCCGGCCATCAGTGTGAAGAGGTCCATAGTGCCACACTCAGGGCAGAGAGGGCTATTTGCTGAGACAATGCTGGCAAGGTACGAGTTGAGTCGTATAAATTTTTAGGTTGGGGAGCACTTCCGAGTTGAATTTACAAAGTTGGGAATACTAATTCGATTTTTTAGGTCATGATTTTTTTAGGAACGGCTGATCTGATACTCGTGAAATTGTAAGAGGCTTTTTATCGCTGGGTGGGCTGCCAACATCACACAATATTCATCCATTTCCCCGCCATCCTGCAGAGGCGGCGGTGTTGCTGGCGGCCACCGCGTCGCAGGCGGCGGCCGAGGTGCGTGAGATGGCATGGCTGGACATGTCTCAGTATTGTGCAGTAATAATAATAATTTAATTGCATTATTTACAGCATTAATTGCAACACAATTATGTTCCATTGATATTACTTGAGTTTTATAAAAATATTTAATTTGGCAATAAAAGATTTCTTCGGATGAATATTTGATATACAAGAAGAATAATGACGATTATTATATAACATAATTACAGTTTACAATTCTAACGATCACTTGAAGATGTTGTTATTGTGTATGATATAATATTTCGTAAGTTATAAGGTAGATTATTTATTATTATTATTAATTATTTGAGCAGGCGGGCGGCGGGGGGGCGGCGCTGACTCTGCCCACGGGGGGCGTCGTAGGGCACCGCCGCTGCGCTCGCCATCGTCGCCCGCCACCCGCCGCTCTGGTGGCGGTGAAGACGCCACCCCCGCCCGCCAGGCCCCGCCATCCTGGCCGCCACAACGCCGGGACGGTGGTGGGGCGCTCCACGAGATGGTGGGTAGCGGTAGGGGCTGTCTCTTATACACATCTAGATGTGTATAAGAGACAGATCCAGAATTGATTCAATTGAATCAATTAAAACATAAATCCATACAAATCAGTTCTAATGGTACATAATTTAATGACAATTTACATGTGAATTACCGATGGAAAAACTTCAAGTTGTTTTGAACGTAAACATCCCGCACTGAACTCTATAATGCCTCGTATTTGTAAATAATGGAGCACACAAACCAAGGATATTGCAGCACACCACGCCTCTTCCCCGCCGTGGGTGGCACCGGCAGTCGTCGTGTCGTGACACGCGCGTGCGCCAGTCACGGCGACTACCGCGCATGGCCTCGTGACGCACGCGCGTAGCGCGCGCCTTTCGTGACGTCACGAACGCCTTAAGTGCAACACACGCGCCTCACGCGCATCTTCCGTGGCGCAATACAACGCCCTTACTGTTATGCATTGTTTATTTAACAGCATGCGGCGCCTACCGTGCGACGCATGCGCCTCACGCACGCATTTCGTGTCGTCATGCAGCGACTTTAGTGTGTCTCAAAGTCCCAAATTTCGGCTACTGTAATTCGATGAANGCTGGGAGGGACAGGTCGCTGGGAGGGACAGGTCGCTGGGAGGGACAGGTCGCTGGGAGGGACAGGTCGCTGGGAGGGACAGGTCGCTGGGAGGGACAGGTCGTGTGCTAAGAAGTAAGGGGAAATGTTGCATGTGACAACTAAGTGGAAGGATACATATATTTGCTTCATTAATATGTACCGTATTGCATATACATATTAATCATATGTTTATTTATTCATAATCATCATATGTTGATAAATATGTATGCTGCAGGTGGTGCTGCCGTGCTGATGCTGCACATCTTACACCCCCCGATGCTGTGCTGTGTTACACAGCAGGCGTGCTGTGTTATGCTGTACTGTGCCGCGCTGTACACTGTACAGCGCGGCATATCATCATGTCACAGCTGAGCGCGGCATATCATCATGTCACAGCTGAGCGCGGCATATCATCATGTCACAGCAGACGCGAAGATGTCGCTCTTATCATTTAACATCAAGCGCCGTATCATCGACATCATTGTATGCGTCGCCTGTTTATATATAGTCATGACTGTTTATATGTTGAATGTCATGTCGTGATTTTATTCAAGAATCGCTCCGTGATGCTATTATTACTAATGTATAATCTTCATATATACAGCAGATTTTTCCTCGCTATTGTCATTGATTTTTTTGTGTGGCAAGGAATTTATATTTTATTAATAATTTGGGGTGTATACTATGGGGTGAATATGGGGTAAATATGGAGTGTATACTATGGGGTGAATATGGGGTAAATATGGGGTGTATACTATGGGGTGAATGTAGGGTGGATATGGGGTGAACAGCTCCCTGGGGTGAATGACTGGGGTGAACAGTTCCCTGGCAAGTAAGACAATATAATAACATCTAAATAGTTATTATAACTTGAAAAACGTGTAGGTCGAATGGCTATTTTAGCGCCATCAATACTTTTATTGAGGCTGTAGATGAAAATTCAATTATGTTCTTAGAAGAAATTCATTTCACAGTAGAAAACTTGATCGCTTCATGAATCAAGTTTTGGGCACAATGCTCGTGTAGTTTTTAGTTCTAAAAAAACTAGTTTTTCGAATTAGGCCGTATAACTAACGATGAGACCAAATACTGTCATGCCATAAGCAGTATCCCCATGGAATACCTAGAGTTGTTACCTAGAGACTAGAGTTGTTAGATAGATTCTAACAACTGTAATACGCTTAAGTGAGCGCTAATTGTCGCCCACGAACAATATAAACCCGAATTGTTTGAGGAGCTGGTCTCTTCCAAATCTTTTTCTGGGCGTCCCTCAACTTACTTGCAGGAACTCCGCAATATTGCGTCTAAAGTAGGAGTAGGGGATGAATAAGTCAGGCACAAGTTTTTACAATCGTTACCTTCCCCCATATCAGCTGTCCTAGGAGCTCAGTCCGATTTAGATATGACTCAACTCGGTAGCATCGCTAACAATCTCATGCCACTTGCGCAAGAAAGATGTTCTGCCATTTCCGATAGTGTAGTTAGGCGCAGCCCAAACACAACACGTACACCCACGGCAGCTTCCCTGTCGCTGGAGTCCAAGGACGTGCCTCTGCCAGTCTTTTAGAGCCGGCCAGCGCTCCCGTGTCTGCCGCGCTCACATCTACTGCGGTGACCTGGACTTCGGGAAAATCCTAGAGCTGATTCTTGAGAAAAAAAACTTCCTGGAATATTATGGAACATTCTATAAGGAGAAAATTGGCTTAGCCCAAGGGTCTAAATGCTCACCCGAGATAACTGATGTATACCTACATTCACTGGAGAGAAACTTTGTAGACCAAATTCCCAAACTTATTATGTATCGGAGATGCAGAGATGGCACTCGCATCCTGAACGAAGCATGTGAGGATGATCTCAAAACTTTCGTAGAAAAAGTTAACATGATACACGAGTCATTAAAATTACGACTGAAATCAGCAATCGGGAGCTAAAATTTCTCGACCTCACAAGATGCAGAGGGGAAAACTTCCATAAGAACAGATTATGTACACCAAAACTTATTCCAATATATTAAGGCCTAAGGTGCTCATCCCTTATTTTGTCTGACAGGTTTTTATGAAGAGTGAAATACGAATGCACAAACGGTATTGCAAGAATGTTCCGGACTTTATGAAAACTGCCCTTATTTTATACGAGCACCTGGGACCAAAAGACCACAGCAAACCTGTTTACCTGTTTTTTGGAGCAACTCACAGGCCCTAAGCGAAAAAATCATATCTTAAAAGGTCACAACGACGCAACCTGTTCTTTAAAACAAAATATAACCCACAAACAGTAACAAACGACAGGAGGCGAGCCTGGCTGAAGCATTGGCACCAGATCGAAGGAAATGAGGATCTACGATCACTCTTCCCGATACCGCCTACCATCTCCTATGAACGGTATAAAAACCTGCGCGAGTACATGGAGTCTGGGATAGGAAAAACTATTACAAACGACGATCTAGATATCTTAGATAATCTCCTAAAAGCATCAATAATAATAACGCTAAATACAGAGAAGGTAAAGAAAGGCCAATGCCTGATGAGTAATGATTAACGGTTTAAAATGAGCACGTTTCGCATTTTATTTGCTCTGATCATTTTTCATTCGTATGCCTATTTAACTGTGCCCTCAAGGCGAGCAAAACTTAAGGGCAACTCTTGCTTGCCACCAACTCTTGCCCGCAGAAGTTGACATCTCTGTACGATGGCACATTGTCGATTTCCGTGCGACATGTAATGCTCAAAGAAAAGTCCCGGGTAAATTTCCTGCACAGGTTTAGTATGTAAATCAGCAGATTTTGTGTAAGAACTTAAGCTGTGCGGTCGGTTCCCCACTAGTAAAGGGACATGATCTGCTTAAGGCTTGTAACTCGTAGGAATGCTCCAGAAAATGACGTAAACTTGACTGGTCTCCAATGTCCGCAGGAGCTCCCTTCAGGAGATTTCTGCGTCTCAGAATCGTCTTTTAGAAGAGGACTTTAACGAGACGAGACGAAAAATTGCCAGGGAAATAGCGATAAATCGAGAAGTAATTGTTTGTGTAAAAATAGTGATTGCAATGCAAAATGATCAAAGTAGAATTTAGAAACTCGCTTTGCCACCAATTTCTCTATACGTTTAACTTATTTCAATTTTCAATTTATTCAACTTTAAAGGTAATACCAGTCATCGTCAGTGTCAATCTAAAGAAAACAAAACGAAAGTTACCGTAAGTAAAAAATGGGTTGAGGTTTACGGAAGATTTACGTTGGAAATGAGTAGGACAGGAAATTTTGTCAGATTAAATTCAAGTTGTGTGCGATTTGAATACAAAGTTAAACATTAAGAACACAATAAAATTCAATCAATAATGCATATCATGTATTACTTCAAAACGAATATAGACCATATAAAAGTCTATGATGACTGTAATGTCAGAGAATGATTGAGCAATAAAAGAATCATCAGATTTGGTCAAGTATTCTGCTTAGCACATGTTAGGTGCAAGTAAACCGGCAATCCACAGAAATCTTAGCAGTCGCCACTATTAGTCAACCATGCGGCTGGTACATGGTCAGGCAAGCAGCTGCTGGCCGTCTCTTGCTATTAGTTTCTGAAGCAGTAGACCTCCTCTACACGAGGCCAAATACTCCGAAAATTAGTGGCGGTTAGGACCAGCTAGACGTAAGTTGATGCTACATCTATGGCCCGTGTGAACGCATTACACGAATCGGCCGGGCAGTAAAAAGCGGACGGGCTTTGTCAGGGTCTCATAATTTGCACTCTTGTGCAAAGCTTTACATATACCATATTATTTTTACTTAGAAAATATTTTTCACTTTCTTTAGAACAAAATGTTTTTTGAAAATATCCAAAAAAACTATCAATTAAATTTTACATGAAGAGTAACCTAGGACGTTAAAGGAGGAAAATTCCGGGAAACAGTTAAGCTCATAATATTTTTTTATCTGGGACATTTCATCTCGGTATCGTTCCGGATTTTCTTTTAAAGTTGAAAATTAGTCCGATTTTCTACGTCTACTGGATTAAACATTTCAGGATATAGTCTAGTCTCGCATTAAGACGTGCTGAACTCGGCTGCCTAAGCTCCTCATCATAGGCATTAATAATTAATATATTCATATTAATATAATATATTATATATTAAATTAATTAATTAAATCAATTAATTATTAATATATTCCATTAATTAGTAATGGAAGCATTATTGCGTATTGCTAGCTGAGACTTCTTAGAAACAGCTCTACCAGGTTCAAAAAAACATAATGGAACTTCACTAAAATATGAAATAGTTATTGATTTAAAAATGGTCCCACTCATCCTCAACTTCCTGCCTTCCTCAATCAACAACTTTTTTAAATTTATAATTCCGTCCTGTTAACTGGCAGATTCCAATTCAAAGCTG